GTTTTCCTTCACAGAATTTCCACCACCTTTCCCCCTCTATATGTATTACTCATCTGCATATTGCCTGTCATCTCCCATCCCCACACTTATAAGTTCCATGAGATCAAGAATATTTTATTTTGTTCACTGCTTGAACCCGTAGCATCCAGAGCAGCGCCTTGCACATTGCAAATGCCCTAAGAGTTTGCGTTCCAGGAATCTTTTATTAAATTTGAAGGCTAACAGTTAACTTCATGACATTCCCTAGTACAACAGCAACAAATTTCTTTGCTAGAAATATTTGCTCTAAAATCTCCAGTATAAATACTTAGACTTCCATCTGAAGCCACACAAGTAACCTAAAAACTGACATAAATTATGATTAAACGGATAATTCATTCTTCAACATTGCCTAATCACATCCCAGAAGTCTTTTTGTACTTATAGTAAATCTGAAATAATGATCTGAAATAATAATCTGAAGTCAGAAGAGTTCAGAAATCTTGTGCCCCCACTACCTAAAATATGAACAGAAAATAACAAAAAATGTTCAGTATCACTAGATCAGCAGAAAATGTAAATACTTACAGTATTTACTGATCTATTTCAAGATCATTATGCTGAGTGAAAGCCAAACAATCGAGTACATACTGTATGATTCTGTTTATTTAAATTTTAGAAAATGCAAACCAATCTACATGGAGACTAGAGCTCAGTGGTTGCCTGGGCTGGGCTGTAAGAGAAGGACAAACAAGCATGAGGAAACTTACGGAAGTGATGGAAATGTTCTGTCTTAACTGTTGATTTCAAAGTTAGGTGCATCTGTCAAAACTCACCTAACTGTACAATTAAGATTGACTGACAGACAAAATACTTACTGAAGTTAGTTAAGATTATTTTTGTGATCACCCATGACTGGGGAGTTTTTTATTCCCCAAGAATAATCAGAAAGATGAAGGAACCTACATAGATTTCTTCCAATGACAAGAAAAGACCATATATCTCAAGTGGATTTGAAAGGATAAGATAAACAGGTTAAGACTGTACCCGTCAAACCATGCTCATCAAAACAAGGACTATACAAATCCTCTTAGGTAATAATAGCATGCCATTTTATAAATGAAAAAAAGCAGGCATAGAGGGTTCAACATCCCCCAAACCACAGTTTTCAGCTGAACTGAGAATCAAACACAAGCGATTCTCTTAACTCACTTTTCCACCTTAGAATGACTAAATTTAAAGGTTGGTAATATTCAAGTATTGGTACAGGGCAGGGAAAAAAGCATTCACATCCAATTTATGTTGGCACCACCCTTTCAGAAAAACATTTCAGTAATAACAAACTTAAAATAGACACAACTCACAACTCTTTTAAGCCAGCTAATACTCCCTTCCAGGAAATGACAATACAGAAATCTTTTCAACTATATTTTCAAGAATGCTGCTGTATTAATTACATGACAATAAATTTGTAAGCAATCTTAATGTCAACCAATAAGAAATGGCTAAATAATTTAAGGTGTATCACACCTGGCCATAAAAAAAGAATGAGATCTATACAGATGTCTTGAGTAAAAGCCAAACCCTAGAACTGAGTGTATAACAATTTAAGAAGCAAACACAAAGGTTGGGAAGGAATCATCAAAATACTTATCTGGAGACCAGGAAAAGCGTGCTCAGTTGAAGTAATGACTTTCACTTTTATCCCTATTTCTCATACTGTTAATTTCTTCATTTTTGCAAATATAATTTAATAACAAAGAAACTAAGATATATTTTTAACGACTATCAATGTTAAAGACAAATTCTGAATGAACTGCCAACTGTTCTGAATTACTGATTTAGGGAAGAACATACAGTGAAAGAGATTCACAGAAACTTAACTAAGCTTCCTTACCTTCTATAAAGAATGACATTTACTACAATCTTTTAGGGGCATTATGCAGGTATTAAAAAGATATTTAGGTAATAAGAAGATAACCAATTAGGCTTTCTTAATCTCTGAAATTCAAGAAGACATACCTGGGAATCTCCTGACCCACTCTTCTGCAACACTCAATGACATTTATATAAACCTATCCACACTGGGCCCAGCTATTAAGAGTAAATATGCTCATGTTTTACAATCTATTATTATTCCTTTGCTACATATTCTCCAGAAAATTATTTCTGCTTTTCTAAAAGGAAAAAGACCCCAAATGTAAACCTAATATAAGAGCTGTTAGGCATAGATTCATGAAATGGTTGTAATAAACATATAAATCTTTGGCAATTTCTTAATAAATTCATAAGATTTGTAAGACACATAAATTCATTAAGATTTTTCTTTAGCAGAAGCATATAAATATCGGAGAGAAAAAGGTCCTTGAGTGGGGACAATGCTCTGGGACAACAAAACATTTAAATAAAGAAATCAAGTGCTGGATAACTCCTTCAAAATACTATTACTTAAACATATTACTCATATCATACATAAATATAACTGAGGTCTTATTGTAATAAAAAAATGGGGCTTTACCAAAAACTAAATTAAGCACCTTTTTCACAAAATTAAATAAACCAAAAATGGTTACAAGTGAATATATAAAAATACAGCATCAGTAATCCTTTACACTGAGCATGTTTAGACAAACTACAATTCCCTTTATAGGTTTATAAATAAAAGTACATAACATTATCACAGTATGGTTTAAGCTGACTGCTTCAACCCTACTAGTGTTTTATGGACAGAATTCTCCAAAATATGTTACTATAACAAGTACTCTCCTATAATACTCTTTCAACAAATCCTTTACAGATTATTTTGTGCCATGTATCATGCTAGGGACTGGCTGTGGCAGAAACACTGAAAACAACTTTATAGTGGTATTGCAATTGTACATTTATTTCCTCTCTCACATTGTGAAAAGCAGTGTGGTATAGTGAAAAGAATACTGATGTAGAAAAAAATGTGGGCTGCAATTCCTGACCTAACCACTAACAACTCCTTTTTATGTTCAGAGTAACAGAACTATGTGTTATGTACCATGCAAAACTGATTCAGAAAAATCTGACTGGAGTATGTAAATGTTAAAAAAATTTTTAATTAAAAATAAGAATACAGCATTTCATTACATTTTTAAGGCTCTGAGGCTCATAACCATTGGAAATGACAAAACACTCTAACCTAAAAAGAAAAAAGAATTCTGCAGGCTCTTATTTATATTAAAGCTATAATGTTAGAATTATATAACCTTCTACCAGGTCACAGATTCTTTAAGAATTAAAAAAGAAAAACATGTAAGAAATTTTCTAACAAATTTTATCCTTTTAAGAAATAGTCTCTAATTGTCTAGAAAAATATTTTTAATTTTCAAAATGTACTGTTTCCTCTCTCAAAAACCCACAACATTCAGGGTGCCTGGCTGGCTAAGTCGGGGGAGCATGCAACTCTTGATCTTGGGGTTGTGAGTTCAAGCCCCACACTGGGCATTACTTAAAAACAAAATCTTAAAAAAAAAAAAAATTCAAATAACATATATGACTTAACTACTTTTCTAAAAAAGACTATGTATGTATATTAGCATCTCTTTGTAGGTCTACAACCCTAGGCCTTCTTTACAGATAAGTATCAGTTTTTCGTACTGAGAATCTACCTAAACCAAGAATTTGTGTCTGCCTTTTAGAGAACTATGCAGTGGTATTAAAGGTTTAACAACAACAACAAAAAAAGTTTATACAGAAAGCACCCAACTATTTTACAGACTCCAACCATATTTTTCCATTTAAAATTTTATCCAAGTATCTAACACTTCTGTTGATCATATATTATTAAAACAAGAATTCAAATAGCAAACAATAAAAGATGTTTTAAGTAATTGTGGCAAGTTCTATCCTTTTAAGAGTACTTGCATATTTAAAACATTTTATTAAGGTGTGAAAGGGAAAAAAGTTTTACAGTCAAAGATTTACTGACATGATTATCAATGCTTTCAATCAGAGTTAAACAAATCTTAAAATACGCATTGAGAGTTAATTATTGTCCATCTTAATTTCCTTTCATCTGAAATTCAGAAGTCATGTGTCCACTTTAGGGAAGATTTATATATGAAAAAGTTTATTAGAAAAATAAACAACTTTAAATTTTACAATATTTTCCACTTCCAAAATTCTTTTGTATAGAGCAAATGTGCCTTATGGTTTAAACATAAACTTGACTTACAAAATCTCATTTAGTCCTAAAGATACAAAAACACAAATGGTGAAATTGAGAAATTCAATGTAAAAATTTTTTTTAAAAACACCATTTGTTGCAGATACCTAATATGGCAATATTTACTGAAAATAAACAACTTTTACTGAACTTTACTGTACTGGTGTATTACCAAAATTAACATTATCAAATCAAAATGTAGATTAAGTTGTGTGGTTTAGGTTTATTTTTCCAAAAATTTTATCAACTATACCAGGAACTGGCAAATTTTTCCTTAAAAGGTCAGAGAGTAAATATTTTAGGTTTGCAGGCCCTAAGTTCTCACTACCCAACTCTGCTACTACAGGGAGAAAGCAGTCATACTTTCTCCTGAATGGATATACCTGTGGGCTGCAGTTTGTCTGCTGCTGAACTAGACAATGGATTTTGAGTAAGAGATTATTTCAGGTGCCATATTACAAATATGTCACATATAGGGGTCAGGAGGAACAATATAAAAGAGTAAACATCACTAAATGAACTATTATAAGTTAAAAATTTCACACTTATTTCCCAATCTTAATTGTATGTGTGTATATATACAAGTTACAAAACTATTTCAATTCCATATTCTTTTTGGTGTGTTAATATAGTATCAGACCGAAGTCAGATAAGCAGCAAAGTACCATGAGAGATTCAGTACTCAGAGGCTAGCTAATCAATAACCATGAAATTAGGTTTTGACATCTAAATATTTCTACACGAAAAAATTAATTTATTTGCTGTGCCCCTAAAGAAAATGAGATGTATATTTCAGATGTCGTTTTAAAATTCAATTGAATTGTTACAATTTTGAAGCTAAATGTGATTTGCTTTGTTTTATTAGAAAAAATACTCAGGCAAGGTCTACAATCATCGGTCAATTAAGAATGACTTACAAGAACATGAGGCAATAAAATAAAAAATACAGGTACAAACTATATATCTGAAACACTTCTATTTGGCAATTTTATAACAAATCAAAATTTTAAAAGAACAAAGGAGATCGCAGATTACTTCGTAGATACAGAATAAAGCAATTGATGAAGTGCTTAAGCAAAAGAAAACAAAAAAAGTAAAACACACTGCTTTCCTTTTCTTTTTAAAAAATAAATCACATTTGCTACAGATCAAATGGATAATACCCTTATTAAACAACCATTCCAGAATGTCTTATAGTAGCAGTGCTTTTATTTGCACTTCATTTAATTTTATATGACTCATTTCATGTATATAGATAGCTCTTTACCCCACTGTTAACGAATAAAGTCTCCCATAATTTTTATTATTTTAAAAATTTTTTTAAAGTAAATGAGAAATGATTTATGTATCATGGAACCTTTCCCATTTTGGAACCAAAGGCTTAATTCTATATTTTTGTCTATTCTTTTCTTTAAAAAATTTAGTGTAAAAACTGCTGGTTTTTATATCACTGTAGTAAAGTGAAAACTCCTCAATCAGGAGTATTTTTCTGCAGTTTGACTGCATATAACCACATATACTTTACAATATGTCCTTCCAACAGTAAGGAAATAATTGATTTCACGGTCACTGTCAGAAATGAGTGCCATAATTCTATTATGGGTATAGGTCCTCCCTCAAAGACTTTCTGGAAGGATGTTCAATGTGTTTTGTTCTTATAGATATTAACAGTAGTACATAGTCCCTTAAGTCTGCAAAGACATTTATTGTTAAAGAAGGTGCTTTATTAACAATTCCTCTGGCAGCACTAGTGAATTACAATATCCTTCAATATTATTTCTACCCATAATATATACATTTAACTTTCATGCCTCTAGAAAAACATCTACAGTACATTTCATAATATAAAAATATATTACAAATCTGCTGAATTATTTACAAGCAATGTTCTATTATCTCTATGCAACATTTGTTTGATACAATACTAACAAGTTACACATATTTCCATTTCTGTAAGTTAAAAAAAATCCATATGGCTTCCTGCTTACCAAGCAAGAAAGTGATTTTATTTTCCTTTTCAAAACCAACTTTGGTGCATAAAGGATTCAGTTTGAAGATACTTAAAAAAAAAAAAAAAAAAAAATACAATTTTTCTTATGTTAAGATAAAACAGCTCATAAACCAAATGCTTTCCTCAGAAAAAAAATTAGAGGCTTATATAGGTTAAAATGAAAATATGAGGATTATTCAAATAATTTGAAATCGAGGTTTTTCAAAAACCGTTAACAGATTAGTTATATAGGTAAATATTAACATACTGTACTCCATGAGAAAACCCTAGTCCTGAAAAGGGAGCCACCAGACATACTGCAACACTCTTTAACAGAAATTTTCAGCCCTAATTCGATAGACGAATTTTTAGTTGATTGCAAATGTCGTTCACTGTTTGCTTAAATACAAATTGAACACTTTTCTTATCAGAGTTCTGCAAAAGAACACAAATGGCAACCAATCACATCTATTTATCATAATTATCTCTTGATAATTTTCATTGTCTAAATATTTCCTAATATGACTTCAACTCAACAGACACTGTCAAGACAAATATCCTTACAGTGCTTTTGGTAATTTAAGGGCACATGTTGTAATTGTTTTTTTTTCCAATATAAACTACTGTAATTGCTAAAGGGGGAAAAAAAAGCAGCTTAAAGCAGCAAGCATGCAAAGCCTTTAAGAAGCTGTTCCACTAAGTTGCCAGAAGAGTGTTTGCTCAGTCTCCCACAGTACCATTCCATGAAAATGTGGATATACAGTAATATATTAATATATTCCACAGAAGAGCCTACTTCATTCACAGAATGTTTACACTAAGCATAAATATTACTCTAAATACCGGATTTAAGAAAAAAAAAAGGAAGGGGGTTATGACTCTAATGTGCAACTTTTACTAAACCCATTGTCAGTGACTAAGACTGCAGGTGTCCCCGCTTGTTTGCTTTTTATGTATTTATTTATTTTTTACCTCTTCAACCTCTTCTGCGGCATTGTTCTAGAAAAAGAGAAAAAGGAATATTCTTTTATTGGACTGAATCAAAAACACATTAAGTATTTCAAAAGAGACATTAAAAACATTAATAAGATATAGGCAGTGTGATAATCACTGATCATTAAAATTTATTTCCAAAGCATTCATACATTAATGGATGCAAATTTCAGTTATATAATATAGCTTTTTAATAAATCCTTTTTATGTAGGCTAATGTGATTCTAAAAAAGAATATCATGCCTAACACATGTATGTTAGCCAACTAGGACTTTAAAACTGATGTTTAAACCTTGAATAAATATGTTCTTTTTAGTTTCATTTTGAAGTTAATAATTATTTTTAGGTTTGTCATGCTTTCATTTTGAGATGTGTATAAGCCACAAAATATTTCTCCTAAAACAAGTCTGAATAATCACTTTATTCTTTTTACTTAATTTCACAAGTTCTCCAAATCAAAATCCAGACCTCGCTCACATGTTACACCACAGCAAATGTAGCCAGTTCTATTAATCTGTACCACTTTAGGAAAGACTCCATTCTAATTCCAGAATAGCAGAATCATGAAAATTTAGAGTCAAAATTAAATGTTAAGACCGGGGCAGGGGGCAGTAGTACAGTTAAAGAAAATTAACTCCACAGATACATTTAATATGTCTTAAGAACACCTTCATTACCCAAGAGTGACATCAATTTAGAATTGCAGACTTAACACTTTCAGAACATACAATGCAATTCCTATGCTCTTTTGGACAATAGTTCTGCACCCAAATGGTTTTTTTTTTTTTAAGTTAATTTCACTAATATCTAAATTGCTTCCTATATACACAAAATAGCAAAAATAAGCTGTCTGTGAAAAAGGAAGAGCCTCAGAGAGGGAGAAGTAGAATGCAGGGCAGAAACACAAAGTTAGTCTGAATCTTATAATTAAGATTCATGCCCCTTTGTCAACTCTCTGCCTAAGGGATGTTTACAACCAGTTCTAATAGCAGGGTGGCTCTCCCCAAATATCACTCTTTTAAAATGCTAATTTTAATTACTCCCTTCAAAGAGTCAGCAGAAATAAACCCTAAATTAAGTACCAGTAAATAAAGAATATTCAATTATTTTTCTTAAAAAAAAAAAAGGTAAATCATGACTTGCCCGTATTTTTGATAGTGGATTTCCCTCAATCTCTCCTCTGAGGTAATTTCACCGTTTTTTCTCAATAGTTAATAGTTAATTTCTCAAGAACACAGTTCCATCACACAGAAAACAAGTTTTTATTGTACTTATTATTAGCATCTGCACTAGAAGATCTTTAAAACAATTTGCGGGGTTGGAGTGCCTGGGTAGCTCAGTTGGAAGCATCAAACTTTTCATTTCAGCTCAGGTCATGATCTCACAGTCGTTGGATCGACTCCAAGTTGGGCTTTATGGTGACAATGCAGAGCCTGCTTGGGATTCTCTCTTCCTCTCTCTGCCCTCCCCCTCCAATCAAAATGAATAAACTTAAAAAATAATAATTTGGGGGGAATAGGGAAAACTTAAGAATCTTGGGGGTTTCCACAAAGCAAGTCCCATTCATTATGTGAGAATTTCCCTCAGAAGAGATCTTAAATTATAGAAATCCTATTATACTGAATTACATTCCAGAAAGTTGAGTCACAGAATAAACAGAACCTTCAGAGTGTTTAACTGCTACAGGATTTGACCTAGGGATAGAGTCTCTTTATGACAGCTAAAATTCACACTTGGGATTATCAATTATTATATGCTATCTTATTCTTATTCAACCTATTCCTATGCAAAATACATATCAAGTTGAAATTGATTTTTAAAACATAAAAATCTGCTCATAAAGAGTGCCTTTTAAGCATTTTCCCCACTTTCTGAATCACCCTAGTATACGTCATTTGGATGGAGGCAGTGTGGAGTTCAATCATACCCTATCTGTGTAACCTTAGGCAAGCTATTTAAACTCTTGCCTCAGTTTTCCAATCTGTAAAACAGAGATAGTAACACCTACTTCACAGGCTGCTGTGAGGATGAAGTGTATGTAAAGCACCTAGCAAAGTGACTCAGCACATAGTCAGAAATGTTGGTCTCTTCTCCTTCCCCCCCTATACCTTCATAAGCACAGCACACTAAAACAAAGGTCAGATCAGAAAATTATTAGCAATGTGAACACTGAGCTACCTCTTAAAAACAAACACAACAATATTTAAACTGTTCTAAAGGCTTGGGTAGAGTAGAAGTTTAAAAATTCATCATTTATGGTATTTTAGGGCATTTGTGGTATATTCCCAGATCCATAAAAGTCTGGTATTGTAAAAAGAATTACGTATGTAAACAAAAGACACTTATTTTCAAAATAGTATGTACATTAGAATTTAAGCTACATAAGATAAATCTGGAATTAAGTTGGCATATAAACTTTACCAAAATAATTATCTTTCTGGATTCTACAATTTATAAGCTTTTGTGATGTAATTTCCATATACAAAGCTCCAGAAAGCAAGCTATGCTTGGTACTGAAATTCAGTACTTAAAATTAAGTCCTAACCTTATATCCAAAAAGTTTAGGGAAATTTAAGATTATGATTCAAAAATTAAAACATCTAATCAAGAATTAAATTACCTGTATATGTTTGGATCCAAAAGCAAGGCAGTATCTTTGGGTAGCTTTGATAAATGAACTACTTTAGTTTTTAATTGATGTCGTTCACTTTCATTCACCCACACGTCAGGCAGACTATGAATTAAAAAACAAGTCATAAATGAAAAAGCATTCATTTTAAACTTACCCTTTATATAACTTCACATTACCCAGACTTTTCTGTTAGCGTGACTGAGCCACAGAAATTAACAACGTTCTCAGAAGCCAAAGAAATAGCAACGGGATGCGGAGTCCCAGGTAAAAAAATGACAGTGAAATTTCAGGCATGAATTTGGGAATGAATTAGGAATTTTTGCTGGCAAAGCCATATCAAACTTAGAAACACATATTATAGAACACTGCCTTGTCTTTTAGTTCAATGAGTAAATGTCATACTTGAGCTTGACTTGATGGAGTTTTTCTTTTTTTTTTTTTTTTTTTATTGAAGTAGAGTTGACATCCAATGCTGTATTAGTTTCAGGTATACAACATAGTAATTCGACAATGCCAAAAATTACTCTCTCACCATATCATATTATTATAGTAATATTGACTATATTCCTTATGGTAACACCAAGTTGAGAAATAAGTAAACACTCAAGTAGATTAAACTCTACTTTAAAAAAATGCACATGACCAAAATCCTGAATTCAAAGAAATTCAATCCTATCGGGAAATTCAAATAAAAACAATTTGATTGATATTTATACTGATCAATATCCAAAATACTAAAAATACATAGATATTTGACTATACTTTAAAGAAACTGTTTATAACCTTAATATAAAAAGAGCTCTTACAAATCAGTATGAAAAGGTGAATATTCCTCAGGGAAAAAGGAACACGATAGACAAAGGATACAAACCAACAATTCACCAAAGATAAAAACAGTTTAAAAATTATCTTATTTGTAATCAAAGAAATATAAAATGTAAGAATGATAACAATGTTAATAACCAGAGAAATAAGCTCTCTAATGTAGTGGATAGGATTATAATTGGCACAAATTTTCAGGAAGGCGATGTGTATTGAAACCCATCAATAATTTGCATATTTTGTGTACTGGCTGATCTTAATATCTCTTTAACAGTAGAGAAAAACAGGGACCTTTAGTGTTTCAGCAAAAAAAGGAGTTCATTAAATAAATTTTACACAGCCATTTCAAAATATTTTACAGTAGCATTTCCACAAAACCTGGATGGAGGGGATGTGTGTGGAAAATATGTTCTACGTTAATGGAAGTTTGATAGTCACAGGATTAAAAAAAAGCTAGATTTCTTTACTAATATGCTAACATGTATGTAAACTCTCAAATCTATTGAAGAACTCTTAATTCACATCACATTAACATCTCCTTAGAATGAAGTCTGAGAAACAATACTGTAGAAAAATACTGAGTAACAAAAGATAAATGTTAACCACATACTATTAATTTCTGAAAAACCAAGTATACACAATTGAGAGTCCATTCATTTATTCTATTCTTGGTATTTATTGATTTTACCCCAAACTTCTATGATTTATATACCTTTATTACCTTTTCTAACAAAAAGAATTTTAATAAAAACATAAAAGGAGGGGCACTTGAGCGGCTTAGTCGGCTAAGCGTCCGACTCTTGATTTTGGCTCAGGTCACGATCTCACAGTGCGTGGGTTTGAGCCCTCCATCAGGCTCTGTGCTGACAGTGCTGAGCCTGCTTAGGATTCTCTCTCCCCCTCCCCCTCTTCCTCCTTCTCTGCTCCTCCCCCAATTGTGCTCTCTCTCCAAAATAAATAAACATTAAAAAAAAAGATAAAAGGAAAATTAAACATAAAAACATGAAAAACCTAAGGATTTTCAGGGCCAGAAAAATATAATGCTTTTGGAAAACAAGCCAAATGATTCTTCTTTATCACTGTGAGCTAGAAAATGTTTAGAATTTTTTTAAATGATTCAAACACAGGCAAAACTAAGGCTGCTTGCATACTGCCTGAGGGTCATCTAAAAATCATAAAAATAATTACATTCTAAAAATGATTAAAAATTGCTACAACAACTTTTATTGAAAACAGAAACAGCTAGTTGTAAAGGTTGTAACTTGAGTCAGGTACTATAAGAACTTTCACAGATTCTTTAACCCTGACAGGTCAAAATGTTTTGCAGACTAATTTCTGTAATTCTTTTATATTCAAACACAGTAACTATTCAAACACAGTAAATATTTGAGTGTAAGATCATAATAAAAATAAGAGTGTCTATGGGGCACCTGAATGGCTGTTATTAAGCATCTGACTTCAGCTCTGCTGTCAGTACACAGCCACTTCAGATCCTCTGTCCCCTCTCTTTCTGCCCCACCCCCACACCTGTATACTCTCTCAAAAATAAACATTAAAGGGGCGCCTGGGTGGCGCAGTCGGTTAAGCGTCCGACTTCAGCTAGGTCACGATCTCGCGGTCCGTGAGTTCGAGCCCCGCGTCAGGCTCTGGGCTGATGGCTCAGAGCCTGGAGCCTGTTTCAGATTCTGTGTCTCCCTCTCTCTCTGCCCCTCCCCCGTTCATGCTCTGTCTCTCTCTGTCCCAAAAATAAATAAAAAACGTTGAAAAAAAAATTTTTTTTTAAAAATAAAAATAAAAATAAACATTGAAAAGAAAATAAGAAGGATGCCTGAGTGGCTCAGTCAGTTAAGCATCTGACATTGGCTCAATCATGATCTCATGGTTTGTGAGTTTGAGCTCCACACTGGGCTTTGGGCTGACAGCTCAGACCCTGGAACCTGCTTTGCATTCTGTGTCTCCCTCTCTCTCTCTGCCCCTCCACAGCTCGCACTCTCTCTGTCTCTCTCAAAAATAAACATTAAAAAAATTTTTTTAAAGAAAATAAGAGAGTCTATTAATTATACAGTATTTCAAATACTTACATGTCTTCAGGCATCCAATGAAGCAAAAGTTTTATCTTTCCAGAATCCTCTTTTCTCTTAGCTATTACCTAGTAATGATATAAGAGATCATAAAAACGATTTGTAAAACATTATTTTAATGCATCAATAAAAAGCAGTTTTGATTCTAATTAAGAATTTTTAAGTATTCATATCCTGGACCAGATATTATCACAGAATTTTGTTCTGACCTGCTTTAATAGCAGCTTCACCTTTTGATCATATATTTTCACAAAAGAAACAGAGAAAAAAGGAGTTGAAAAAATTTTGTATGCCCAAATATTAATACCATATTATCTTTATTAAGGGACTGAAAAATGTTATTTATTTTACTATTAAAGTCTGAAGATTAGCTAGACTGCCAACCAACAATGCATTATTAGTTGAAAAATTTTTTTTAATTTTTTTAATGTTTATTTATTTTTGAGACAGAGACAGACAGAGTGTAAGTGGGGGAGGGGCAGAGAGAGAGGGAGACACAGAATCTGAAACAGGCTCCAGGCTCTGAGCTGTCAGCACAGAGCCCGACGCGGGGCTCGAACCCACGAACCGTGAGATCATGACCTGAGCCGAAGTCGGACGCTCAACCAACTGAGCCACCCAGGTGCCCCTAGTTGAAATATTTTTAAAGAATAAGATGGTAAAGAAAAAAGAACTGCGGAGATGGGAGAAGTCTATAATTTATGACTAAGATATTTGTTGTTTACTTGGGTGTTTTTGTTTGCTGGTTGGTTTGTGTTACTTTAAATGAAACAGCCAATCAGTGTTTAGGTTCAATTATAAGGAATGTACAGATCAACCTAAATTAAAAAGACCTACATAACATAAAGTATAAAAAAGGGAATATACTGGGGTGCCCAGTTAAGTGCTCAACTTCAGCTCAGGTCATGATCTCGCGGTCCGTGAGTTCGAGCCCCCCGTAGGGCTCTGTGCTGACAGCGCAGAGCCTGGAGCTGCTTGGAATTCTGTGTCTCCCTCACTCTCTGACCCTCCCCGGTTCATGCTGTGTCTCTTTCTCAAAAATAAACATTTTTAACAAAGGGTAATATATTGGTCATTCATTACTAGATTCTGAAAATTAAGATAATGCTTAAATAATAACTGACCAAAATGGTATTTTGTAACTCTTACAACTTCCATATTAGCAAAATTAGCACTGTAGTGTTCTCATAATCCAAGTCTCAGTATTTTCACCAACTTTAAGCTGCAAACAGCCACCTCAAAATATGTTGAAGCATTATATTAAAGTAAAAACAGCACTTTATACATCAATAAAACTTGTAACTCCCATTACTTAAAAATCAATAGTTAGGTACTCTAATTCTAGACTTGATAATAAGATTAATTTAAAAGACTAAAGACAAATCTGAGGATGCTGAAACAAAACACCTCTACAAAAAAATTATAATATAAAAACAATGCAAACCAACTGACTAGTAACTAGGATTCTGCTGACCTCTTCTGGAGAAGGCTCGGAAGAAAATGTTTCAATTAAAGACGACAAATTAGGCAAACTGCATATAGCATAGTACCACCTCACACATATATTTTTCTGCAAAACCGTTTCATTATCTACACAGTTATTTCCTATAAATGCTTATTTGATTACTAAGGAAACTTAAAATTGCAGTTCATATTGAATATCTGACTGCTAAAAGAAGCGATTCTGTTTAACACATACCACCTCCATCAAAACCTTTCTAGTCATGGAACTTGGGTGAACCTGTCCACCTAACTCCTTTCTTTTCTTTTTTTTTTCTTTTTTTTTTTACATTTATTGATTTCTGAGAGACAGAGAGATAGAACGTGAGTGGGAGAAGGGCAGAGAGAGAAGGAGACACAGAATCCAAAGCAGGCTCCAGGCTCTGAGTTGTCAGCCCAGAGCCCGATGCGGGGCTCGAACTCAAGAGTTGTGAGATCATGACCTGAGCTGAAGTCGGACGCTTAACCGACTGAGCCACCCAGGTGCCCCACTCCTTTCTTTTCTATTATGTCCACGAAGACCTGTTCCCAGACTGATGCCTCTTGCATCCACTTTCCTCAGCAAAAAGCATTCCTCAAGATTACACTCTACTTTTGTGGCTCTTCCTTAGTCAAGGTACTTGTGCTTCCACAAGGTCACTTGAGATGCAAATCATCCCTACTCCTTAGTTTTTATGGAAAAAAAACTTGTCATACCTTGTATGACAAACATAGGTATATTCTTAAAATCTCTCAAATGTTTTCTACAGCTAAAAAGCTTATTTTCATCTTCATAAATGGTTTTGTCTCTGAAAATTAAAAAAGAATTTTTCCAGACTCCTAATATCATCACCACTATTTTTAGGTCCTTCACTTTTTTGATCATAACTATTCCTCCCATGGTGAACCTAAGGATTTCATCACAAGGGAGATGCTCTAATGAAAGCATGTGAATGTTGATGCTTCATTTCTTAAAACACAACTGTACTCATCATTGTCACCACTATTCCCTAATATGTAGAGATACTTGCTCATTACCAAACCATTATTTCATCAGATTTATTGTCCTTTAAAATCAGTGATAAGCCCCAAATCTCACTCCTTAGACTTCTTCATTTATACTTAGTTCCTACATGATTCTATCCAGTCTGATTCTTTTAAATACCACTAATATGCTGAAAACTTACATATTTGTATCTGTGGCCATACTTCTTCTCTGAGCTCAAACTCTTACATCCGTGTGCCTAAGTTAAAGAGGGAGTAGATTCTCTACTGAATGTATCAAAATTATAGCTCTTGACACTCCCCTCTCCCCCAATCTGCTTTCCCCAAAGCCTCTATTAAATAGCAACTCCACTACTTTGCCCAGTTGCCCAGGCCAGAAACACTGCGGGCATCCCTTACTTTCATTACCAAACCTGACATCTGATCCATCATAATTCTGGTTAGTAGTACTTTCAAAAGATATCCAGAATCTAACCCTTCTCCACATCTAACCATTCTAAGCATCTCCACCATAACCATTCTGGCCTTTTCTCACCTGAGATAAAAAGGCTGATGTCTCTTTCCCCCACCCTGACCTACATTCTGTCCTCAACACACAAAACAAGTGAGCACATTAAAATCCACATGAAAGAGGGGCACCTAGGTGACTCAGTCGGTTAAGCATCCGACTTCAGCTCAGGTCATGACCTCAGGGTTTGTGAGTTCGAGCCCCATGTCAGGCTCTGTGCCAACAGCTCAGAGCCTGTAGCCTGTTTCAGCTTCTGTGTCTCCCTCTCTCTCTGCCCCTCCCCTGCCTGAACACCCTCTCTCTCTCTCTCAGAACTAAACATTAAAAAAAAAAATCCACAAGAGAAAAGAGATCAGTGAGTTCACCAGGGTAGGGGATGGAGGCAGAGATGAACTATAAAATTACAGTAGGAAACCTTTGAGTGATGGGAATGTTCTGTATCTTAATTGTGGCGGCAGTAGTGGTTTCACAGGTAAGTACAATAGATAACTGTTTAAGTGGGTACAGTTTTATTTATTACACCTCAATAAAAATTATTATAAAAAAAAAAAAAACATCAGACCATGGCTACTCAAATTTCTTCAACGGCTTCCCATCACACAAAGAATAAAAGCCACAGTCTTAGTCAAACAAGGTTCTCCCCACTCTGACTTAACTCTTACTCTCTCTGCTTTCGTGCATACTTGGCCTATTTTCAAACATACTTGGCATATTCCCACTTTGCAATTCTATATTTGATTTTCCCTCTAGCGATGATGTTCATCCCCCTAATAACTGAATGGTTCATACCCTCACTTCCTCTACTATTTCATCTTATCATGTCTCTTCCACTAGACATAGTTTATTGTTTTGTTTTAATCAGTTTTGTTCTCTGCTGTAACATTAGTACAAAGCAGGTGCTCAGTATTTAAGTGAATGGACAAATGAGTACTAATGCCATACTATGGGTCTGGAGACCACAACTTACTTATTGACCTTTGAAAAGAAGAACAATTATAGACCAAATCATAAGCCTACGTTACCAACTTCAAAGGAGGACTTCAACCATCACTGCTGAACAAGCCCCTGATCTTGCTGAATCCCAACAAAATTCCCCTTACAGCCATTTTAACTTTGGTCTTCACAAAATCTGTTTTTCCTTTCAATCCTTTTATTCTTATTTAGATAACTATATTTCCAATGTTTTTTTATATTTATTTTTGAGAGAGACAGAGACAGAAAGACACAGACACACACACAGACACACACACACAAACACACACACACATACACACACACACACACACGATCTAAAGCAGGCTCCAGGCTCTGAGCTGTCAGCACAAAGCCTGATGTGGGGGAGCTTGATCTCACGAACCGTGAGATCATGACCTGAGCCAAAGTCAGACACTTAACAGACTGAGTCATCCAAGTGCCCCTCCAATATTTTTTTTAATCCAATTTTTCTTTATAGAGAATATACAGTTTCACCTTTCCTCAAACCCAAACTCACACCTCTCATGTGCTCCAATCTCAGAGCAATGGTTCCCTTGCTTTGTGTCTAATCTTCTACATTTGTTGCCTTTAATTCTGGCAATCATAGTCAAAACTGGGAATTTTTCATTGGAAGTATACACAAATGAAAAAGTAAAAATGCAATGCAACAAAACCTCTAGGTTACAAGAGATGGAAAAAACAGATATTCAAACCAGCAGAGAAATTGGTATCAATATGATCTTTTGTATTTTATCCTTGTGTATTCTGATTGATCTAAATACTAAAACCTAAATTTAGTATATTTTATATTTCAAGAGTCAAAACAATCTCTTTCTCCAGAGATTCAAATCAACAAGGTCTGACCTAAAATTTACACCTCAGGGTGCCTGGGTGACTTAGTTGGTTAAGCATCTGACTCTTGATTTCAGCTCAGGTCATGACCTCACGGTTCGCAAAACCAAGCGTGGCCCACGTTGGGCTCCACACTGCATATGGGACCTGCTTGGGATTCTCTTTCTGCCTCTCTCTCTGCTCCTCTCCTCCCCACCCCCACCCCCCGCTCTCAAAATAAATAAACATTTTTTAAAAACACTTAAAAAAATAATAAAGATGACTGCATAATAAAACAGCAAAGGGCCCGGGAAAAAGAACAACTCTGTTACCTCCTAGCTAACCAAAAATAGTTATTGCTTTTTCAAATTTGGTATAGTTACCAAACTCTGGTATAGTTACCAAACAGAGGTAACTCTGTTACCTCCTAGCTAACCAAAAATAGTTACTGCTTTTTCAAATTTTCCTATATTGAACAACACAGTCATTCAGCAAATAAACGGACTACTGTGTGTCAGGAACAATTACAGAAACTTGGGCTACATCAGTAGAATAAATAAATAAAAATTCCCTCCTTCAGGGCACCTGGGTGGCTCAGTCAGTTAAGCATCAGATTCTTGGTTTGGCTCAGGCTGATCTCACAATTTCATGAGTTCAAGCCCCATGGTGGGTTCTGTGCTGGCAGCACAGAGCCTGCTTGGGATTCTCTCTCCCTGCCCCTCCCCCACTCACAATGTCTCCATCTCTCTCTCTCTCAAAATAAATACATAAACTTAAAAAAAAAATCCCTCTTCCATAAATCTTTAATTTGATGGCCATTATCTTATTTCTGTTTAATACCAACTTTAGATGTGTTTCTGAGGCTGAAGGAAAAGCATGTAAGCACTCAGGGATAAGACTTAAAAGAAGTCTAATACTCTAACTTTACAAATGAGGAAACCAGAAAAGACACCTAATTATAAGGTCAAAGCCTGATCTGCAAATGCCTACAAGCCCAAAAGTCACCCTAATATTCCTAAATAGCTCAAATTAAAGGCTAAAATATTCAATTGAATCATCAAAATGTTGAACTGTGGGGAATACAGTTGACTCTTGAACAACCCAGAGGTTAAGGCTGCCAACCACTCACCCAGTCAAAAACCCACATATAACTTTTGACTCCCCAAAAACTAACAGCCTACTGTTGACCAGAAACCTTACCGAAAACATAAACAGTCGATTAACACATATTTTGTACATTATGTGTATTATATACTACATTCTGACAATAAAGTAAACTAAAAGAAAACACTAAAATCATAAGGAAGAAAAAATACATTTACAGTACTTTACTATGTTTATTGAAAAAAATCTGTATGTAAGTGGATCTGTGCAGTTTAAACCCATGTTGCTTAAGAGTTAACTGTATTTGTTTTACAACCAACAATACAAGTAATTTTTAAAATACTGATAAAGCAGAACTTTTTGATTTTGTTAAAATATATATTCTAAGGTTTTGAGCAGTTTAGAAATGTGATTGTGAAAGTCAAAATACATGTTCTTGCAGACCTACATAGATAATTAAAAAACAAAAACAAATACTTACAGTACTATGAAAAACAACACTGTGTCCCTTCCCTAAACTTTCTATATGAGCTGAGAGGTTAAAGCATATGGCTCGATGTCTTATCGCATCCAGTGTTTGTGCATCGAAGAAATCATGTGGTCGTGCTAAAAGTCAACACAAAAGAAGTAAAGAATATTTAGAAAAATGTAACAATTTGCCAAACAGCCAAATAGTCCATTTTCTACAAAAAATGTAATAAGTAAGGGTTAAAACAATTAACAAATATCTGGTGTTTAAATAAAAAATTTTATTTTGCTTTCAGAACATGGGTTCTAGCTGACAAGAAGAATATACAAAAGCTAATGAGTAAATGTGGCTTAATTGTGCCATTTGGTGTGGGAGGTTGTAACCTCAGACCTCATGATTCCACATTTCGCTATCTTTTCCATGTAACTTCATATTTTACTCCTGCATCCTGCCTGAGCACCAGTCCTGCATTTTCAACAATCTGATGAGTATCTCCATCTATCAACACACTGAGATCTAATTCACCACAGCCAAACATATAACATGTATGTCAGGAATACTCTATAAACATGTAATCAAAAATTTTCCAAATTTGGGGCACCTGGCTGGCTCAGTGGGAGGAGCATGCGACTCTTGATCTCAGGGTCATGAGTTCAAGCCCCACGCTGGGTGTAGAGATTATCTGAATAAATAAACTTAAAAAAAAAAATTCACAATTTGACAAACTGGTAATATTATTTTGGAGTTCTTGACAATTATTTTCTTGACTGTAAATAACTCTTCCAACAACAATCTAAGAAAATTATGAATACATCCTTGAATGCCAATGAGTCCGCCAAAATTCTTTCTAACTCCCAACTCCACCAGTTATTAGCTGTGCAACTTTAGGCAAACTGCTTAATCTACTTGGCCTGTTTCCTTATTTGTGAAACGGAGATAACAGCTATAGTTTAGGAAAAAGAAATGCATGTGAAAAATGCCTTCATAAGTCACAAAGCAGTTTATATTAATAAGCTTATACTACTTTTAAAAATAAACTCACAAACCTCGAGTAAGCTTTAGTGTAATCACAAAATTATACACTAAAGGTTTAATTTGGTAAGAACATTTTTTAAATTTCTATTTTCATCCCGCTAGTATTATTATAAATTGTGCTATTTTTATTCCTAATAAGAACATTGCTCACAACAAGGAAAATGAATTTATTTTACAATTGTGGAGCTAATACATGTAATTTTTCAAGATCATATGTAATTAAGAATTACATTTTATTGACATTAAAAGAGAGGGCTTGATTTCCTGCTACAGCATATTCTGAATTACATGTATGCTGATTTACCACATTATTCTGATTTACTACTATATGAAGTGGATTTTCCTCTACTAATCATGGAGTTCTCAGAACACCTACACAAATCCACCAGAGCTTTTGTGGGGAAATGTTTCACCAGTTGGCATACTCAATACAACAACCTAAATAGCTCTTTTTTTTACTGGATCTTTCTTCAAAAGGAAATAAGCAAAACAACATCAAGTAATAAACTAGCAGAACCCACAACACTAGGAATACAACAGGAAATCAGTAAGAAAAAAATATCTGACATTTATGAAATAAAAAAGTCATGATTTGGGGCGCCTGGGTGGCGCAGTCGGTTAAGCGTCCGACTTCAGCCAGGTCACGATCTCGCGGTCCGTGAGTTCGAGCCCCGCGTCGGGCTCTGGGCTGATGGCTCAGAGCCTGGAGCCTGTTTCCGATTCTGTGTCTCCCTCTCTCTCTGCCCCTCCCCCATTCATGCTCTGTCTCTCTCTGTCCCAAAAACAAATAAACTTAAAAAAAAAAAAAAAAAAGTCATGATTTTACTTAAACACTGAGAAACAAATTCCCTTCCTGTTAGATTTGTGGCTACTGACAGGAAAATAAAGCGTACTCTATTCTGTCCATGCTCTCCAAATACGCTTTTTCCTGAGCATGATAAGCACTTAAGAAAAATAGAAACTAAAATAATAGTCTCCAAAGCAGGTCTTGTCATGATCCATTAGGGTAAGGGAAGAAAACAATATCACTACTTTTTTTATTCCATCTCAATGTTTTTTTCATATATCCTTCTTGGTAATTGTTTTATAACTTGCATCAGCAGCATTACCTGTGTGTACTGTGTAAGTACATGTCGGGATAGGGTGCCCAAGCATTTTTTTTTTCTAACTGATGAGCTGTACAATCAAAAACTTCTGGAGACCACAAAAATAGAGGCTCTATTTTCCTGTGGTTCAGAATTAAACATACCATCTGATTTCTTTTTTTGCCCTTCAGGTATGGTATTATGGGTATCCTTCCCAAGAACAGTACTATAGTTATGTAAAAGAATATTCTTAGGAGATGCATTCTTAGAATCTATGTTGTAATCAGAACAAAAAAACTACATATATAGGGAGATAAAGCAAATATGGCATATTCTCTAAATGAAGGATATGCAAGTATTTATTGTACTCTTCTTTCCACTTTACTTTGAAGTATGTTAAAACAGAAAAGCTTTGAAATAAATTTTATAAATTGTATCAAAGAGAAAATGACTTAAGCTGCAGTTCTACTGTTCATTGATATACTTCTCTCCCAATTAAGTGAAAATGACCTTTCTGAATCACATGAGGAAGGCACTAGCAAAGTGATGATTTTACTACACTGCTACAGATAGGCACATTTTTAAAGAAGGAATGGACTGTAACAGCAGCAACCCTGCCATTCAAATCTTAATAGGGACTGCTCACAATGACAGCTCCTGAATCTTTTAAAGCTCATATACTCAGGATTATCTTTATTCTCCCCCCATAAAACAGGAAACAAAAAGATTGTTTTTCCCCACCACTCTCCCTACACAGCCTGTTTTACTAGTTAATACTGGAAAAAACAACACTCTCAAAAGAGGCCATATACTTAAGCAGGCACCAGTCCCTCCTTCTCTAAGAAAGAACTAGATATTTAACTAACCCATTCTCTTTAAAAGAACTAGCAAATTGCATAGATACTACCAAATAATACGAAACAGTCAGTAAGTTTAACTGATTACACTACGTATACACAGAGATGAAAATAGTAATGAGGCTACTGAGTCAGAGAGGCGGGAAAGTGATTCCCAGCTTTGTGTGATTGCAAGTACCACATCAATATTCAAGTAAAAAAAAAAAAAAACAGATGTAATTTCTGTTTTTCTAAAAGGAAGTCAAAAGGAAAATGGATCCATAACCTAAATTCAATAGCCAACTTTGAAAAATAAACATTTATTTCAAAAATAAGAAACTTAAAAGAGAGCTTAGAAAAGTTTGTCACCCATGGTTTGTTCATTTGTCGACTGTAGCTTTGTAGTAACAAAAAAAAATTGAACATTTTAGAGACAAGCCTTCTAGTCTGGATTAGTGTCTGGAGTCTCTTCTACATTCTAATCAAATCCCAAGAGAAAAGGTAAGGTACAATCTATTTTTTTTCTATCTAGTTCACCCTTGCAGTGGACTCCCTTTCAATTACAGCTTCAGTCAATTCTCGCTCTCCATTCAGGATGTGCTGAATCAGCCAGCTGACACCACAAACCAGGCAGAGTGCTAGGCTCTGGAGCTTCAACATCAATTCCTGCTCCCCGCGTATATAAAACTTATCATCTAGACTATATCCTAAATATTGAGGATACATTTCATAATCTGGTAATTAAACATATTAACATATGTGTTACAACACATTTAAGTACAGAGACACACACTACCAATAGTTTCGCTATTCACACATACCACTCTGCAGCAGATTGGTTACTTTTACTTCATTATTACCTTTAACATGTTCAAATTTTCTAAAATATCAACACCGCCGTATTTTAAATTTTGTTTTACAGCAGAATCAAAGGACCCCTCAAACTCTGTTTACAGACTTTGTATTCTAAGGCCACATATACTTACCCTCTCTTAACTAGAAAGGTAAGACAAAACATACATCACTGAACTCTCACACTAACACCCAAGGGATCCCATCTGTTTATTACTGTTAACAAAAATACACAGAGTTAAAGAACAGTAAAACCTGAATTTGCATGAAAGCCCAACATAGAAACAAAAGCTATCTACTACATACAGATTTTTAGTGAAAAACTTACGTAATGAACGTCGTCTTTTGTTCTTTAATTTTCTCCTTTTGTTCATTCCAGCTTTAGAAGGAGATTCTTCTTTGGCCTTTGGCTGGCTAGAAACTTTTGAGGAGTTCTGCTGACTGAAGTGTGTGGGTACATGGCGAGCTAGCCCTCCCTGAGAAGCAAAGCTGGCATTGCAGCCACCAACAACACACTAGACAAAGATAAAAAAGGATGTCAGGGCTGCCATGCAAGGCACAAGTATATGAAGGAGTGAATATTCTGTTATTTTCAGAAGTAAATGAGTAACACTATAGAACTATTCCAGATAGAAACTATGAGAGATTACTACACCCTTTCTTTTTATAAGGTGCCCCAAATAATACACATTAGGCAGTGGCAGAGCTGGGAAATAAAACTCTAGTGTCACGACTCTCCAGTTTACTGCTCTTCCCACTGTACACAAGACAAAGATAGTGAGATCTTCTTCCCAGAAAAATCGGGTTTTGAATTAATCATTTTGCTAAGAAAAACAGTAACTTTTTTTTAAATCAGCGAATTACATATCCTGACAATTACTTGGGACTCCTAGATTTCTTTTTTAATGTTTATTTATTTATTTGAGAGACAGAGCACAAGATCGCGATGAGCATGGGAAGGACACAGAGAGGGAGAGAAAAGAATCCTAAGCAGGCTCTGTGCTGTCAGCACAGAGCCTGATGCGGTGCTCAAACTCATGACATGTGAGATCATGACCTGAGCTGAAATCAAGAGTCGGATGCTTAACTAACTGAGCCACCGAGGCACCTGGGGACTCCTAGATTTCTAAAATTATTTTTATCTTAACCATATATACTACTTCAATACATTCAGCAGCCTCCCTACTGTTCTACCCTGTTGTAACAGGGAAGAAATACAGTGATACTGACTTTTAAACAATTAGATCCAGCCACTCCGAGAAGACTTACCCTCAGGGTTGGTTTTACCCAACTCGTTAAGTTCCATTAAATACTGCCTGCCTCTTTAGCCTTCAGCACTTGCCAAGACTGAGATAACTACCCAAGTCACCTGGCAGATCTGCTACTCCAACAATGAATGCAAAACGTTTAGATATCATTAAAATTATAATAAACAAATTAGCTACAGTACAAAGTGTATGACATCTAACAAATGAATGTTAGTAATTAAAACAAATGCCATTTACAAAATGATCACCACAGCAAAATTCATAGCTAGATTTCCAGGGGCTCTTCTATTGGTAACTAAGCCAATTTACTTAGATTCTGACTTGACAACCAAACTCCAAGCATCAAAATCCGCCAAATCATGTCAAACACCAAATAAATCTATCACATTGTTCCTAGGTGGTTCAACGTACAATAGAGTTTATCTAGATAATACCACAAAAAAATGTACACGTTTCCAGGCTCTTTCTTTCAATCCAGGCAACTTTACCATTTTAAACTTCAACTCTCTACTAGGGATCATATCTTTATTCAGTCTCTCTAAATCTACCCAACTTAAGAAAAGCTCATCCCTTTGCAACTACATGGATGGAACTTGAGGGTATTATGCTAAGCATAATTAGAGAAAGACAAATATCATATGAATTCACTCATATGAGGAATTTAAGATACTAAACAGGTGAACATAAGGGAAGGGAAGCAAAAATAATATAAAAACGAGGGGGACAAAACCTAAGAGACTCTTAAATATAGAGAACAGAGGGCTGCTGGAGGGGATGGGGGGGGGGCTAAATGGGTAAGGGGCATTAAGGAAATCTACTCCTGAAATCATTGTTGCACTATATGCTAACTTGGATGTAAATTAAATAATAATTAAAAAAAAACTCATCCTCCTTTGAAGATACCCTCACACTTTCAGACTGCTTATCTACGTATCGCAATTAATCCTTTCTCCGTGTATTTTGAAGGCAAGAACATACTTTTATGAATATATATACGTATACATAAGTGTGTGTGTATCCAGAACCACCTTGCAAATCATAGCTATTTCTAAATATACCTGAAGAACTCAACTATTTATAGATTCTGGTAAAACTGATGCTGGCTGAAACATTTCAGAGCAAGCCCCTTAGGCAGTGCCATTCATAAATATTCTATTTATTCTGTATACAACAGACCTTTTATGGGCTTAATGGCACTCAGCATTGCTAATAAAAACCTTTGCCCATTCTAAGGTGTACACTAAGAGGCAGAGGAATGATTCAAGGTTTTAGTTCAAATACTTATTTTAAAAAAAAAAAAATTTTTTTTTTTTAAGGGCACGGGGCAGGGGGACCAGAGTGGCTCTCAGTCAGTTGAGCATCTGACTCCTGGTATTGGCTCAGGTCATGATCTCAGGGTGGTGGGATCGGGTCTGTGTCAGGCTCAAGCACGGAGCCTATTTGGGGATTCTCCCCCACCCCCCCCCATTTGCACACGCGAGCTCTCTCTCCCTCAAAATAAAATAAAAAATATTTACTCTATGTACTATGCACCATGCAAGATGCTAGAAGTATAAGGATGAATAAGACACAGTACCCCCCTGAAAGAGCTTACAATATGTCAGTAGGCATATGACACCTTAAAGAACTACAGTTAGGCTTAGGGGGCAGAGTGCTATGGGAACCCTAAAAAGGAGCAATTAACCATATCCAGTGCTTGAAAGTATTTCACTCAATTCTTTTAATACATTTTTAAATGTTTATTTCTGAGAGAAAGAGAGACAGTCAGTCAGTTTGAGAAAGTGCACGTAGGGGAGGGTCAGAGAGCGAGAGGGGGACAGAGGATCCAAAGCAGGTTCTGTGCTGACAGCAGACAGCCCCAAGTGGGGCTCGAATTCAAGAACCACAAGATCATGACCTGAATCAAAGTTGGACAATTAACCAACTGAGCCACCTAGGTGCTCCTCATTCAAGTCTTACAATGACCTTATCAATAGTGTTACCCTCAGCCTGTATCAAAAATGTTCAGCTACAGATTCTGGCGATGAAAAGTTTAGCATCTAATGGTTACTGAATTCTTAGAATTAAAAAATTTATATTTAAAAAAATATATATATTTCAAGTGCCAAGAAAAAATAATGCTTTTTAAAAGTTTCCATCTCCTATTGATTACCACACTGCCATAGAACGACACTGTCCACAAAAGCCACTAGCCAAATGTTGCTACTTAACATTTTAAGGCAACTGTAACTAAGAAACAAAATTTTAATTTTATTTAAATTAATTTTTATTTGTTGAGGTGAAATTCATGTAACACACTACCTTAAAAGTGTATAATGCAGTGGTCTTTAGTGCATTCACAACATTGTATAACCACCAGCTAGCTCCACATCCTTGTCAACACTTGTTATTTTCAGTTTATTTTATTTATCTTTTATTGAGGAGGGCACCTGTTGGGATGAGCACTGGGTGTTGTACGGAAACCAATTTGACAATAAATTGCATATTAAAAAAGAATAATAAATAAATAAAATCTTAAAAAAGAAAAAAAAAGTAATCTTTTACTATTAACATTCAGGCTAGCCCTTCCATTTTAATTTCCATTAAATACCTGATACTCAATTTCACTACTGAAAAACTTTTAAATGTATCTGCAATAGCTTGCTATGTGAATCTACCTCTCCAACTACAAATTTTTGAAATCTAAATAAATAAAGATCAAGTATTCAGCATCTGAAATGAGAAGGCTTAAGTAAAATTACCCTCATGGGTTAGTTTTACACTGTCCAACACATTTTAATCATTAGATACCTATAGTACTAAGCACTTGAAATATGGCTCTTCTTAAAAAATATTTTAAGTATAAAATATGCACTGAACTTTGAAGATGTAGTACCCAAAAAAGCAAAAACTTTCATTAATTCTGTATATTGCTAAGATGTTGAAACAATACAAGGAGTTAAGCCAAAGATATTGTTTAAATTATTTTCACCCATTTCAATTATTTTAATGAAACACTGGAGAATTTAAAATTATATATTTGGTTCACACATATTTGTGTTACACAGTACTGCACAGAATAAAGCCACAGAGTATTTATTTTTCTTACTTTTCAATTTTAGAAGATATCATCCCTGTATTTCCTAACATCTACTTTAAAAACATACATTAATTGTCTTTGGTGGCCCATGTGTCAGATACTTTAAGGAATACAATGTAAGTAAGATAGTCTTTTCCCTGGAATTCCCAGTTTAATATTGGTTATTCAAACAAATCTGTTGGAAAAACATCACATTTCAAACTTCCGAATAGCTACCTGAATACAATTAAGGCAGAGAGGACAGTAACAGTTTCAGATCCAAGCCCTCAGGTTTAAATTCAGAAGGATTTTGTGATATAATTCCATCCAGCATTACCCTTAATTATAAGGGTCCCAATACACTAGCAGATACATTTTGTCCCAGAATCCTTCAAGACTGCAATGAATAGGCCCTGAAAGCATCTAGAACTGAGTAAATATCACAAGTGTATTTTAATCAGTGGTGATTCAATGCTCTGGAAACGAATAATGAGAATTCTACTAGAAAATAGTTTTATCTTTGCTTTTAATCATTCATCCATCAAGAATCATAAACAAATCTAAAAAAGAAAACCTAAAAGTACAATGAGAATTTAAAATGAAGAGAGTCCTTTATTAAAAAGAAATACGAGAATCACACACCTTTCACTTAAATACAAATTTTACCCTAGAAAATAATTTTACGCATCATCTAATGAAAATTCCATCCATTATGTATATATCACAGAGAACAAGGTAAGAGACAAATCAGCTATTGCCTCAAGTGGACTTTCATTCCTCTCAACAAGAGCATTTCATGGTGAATGTGGTTTTAATGTTCAAAGATTCACTTTTTTCCCCAACACATACAATGATCCATGAATTCAAGCCACCACATTGATGTCCTGATTTCAACAATCGGGAAAATCTGGTTGTTGGATACCAAATGCTTTAAATGATCTATTTCCCAAATCCACTGAAATACTCTCTATATACTGACTACTGTTGTGGTCAAGCAGCTGTTCTAAAATGTGGAATCACTGTTTTTATTTTTTGCCCCAAACATGTTCAAATTAAGCAATACTAACAATGTCTTTTCTAGTACTAAGACTGCCTTATTCATATATTCCCAAAAGTGCTATAAAAATCTACAAGGGGCTACTGAAACACTGAGGACAAAACATCAGTTTCACAGGAGACATGGTAGTAT